GATATATCTTTACATTTTGCTACGCCACCAATAGTCTTAGGTGTGAACAAAAAAAAAGATCATTTCTGAATTCAGATGTGTAATCTCAACTTTTAGATAAAACGTTTATTTTCACTTGTTGTAGTAGTAATCTAGCCCCTCGTATTAAAGTGGATGATACTTGTTCAAGTTTTTTTTAAACAAATGGACCCATGAGAAATGTCATGTTTCTTTAATTTTAGTTTTATTTTCAGGTATTTTATGATCGCAAAACCAATAAAAACGATATTGTCAGTGAATCAAAACACTTTTATTTAAAATGGTAACAGGTTCCTATAATGTTGCCCGTTCAATAATATGTTGACCGAACTTAAAATATCATTTGAATCATCAGGTAAAAACAAAGAATAAGGTCAGAGTCCTCTGTTAGTTTTTGTTGTTGATATTCTAAGAGCTTTACCAGTTATTTTTCCACGCATGCGCACATTGTACAAGTAACTTTGATTTTTAATAGCCAAATCTGATTTGTTTGCAATCGTTGGTCAACAGTGCCATGTGACTCGGATTAGACAGCATGCACTACGACATAATAACTTCATACACCCTCCCAGAATCTCCCTCTCCCACCAGGAACTCCAGTTAAGTTTTAAATACAAATAAAGTCAGTTGACAAATCGATCTTAGTTAAGTTTTAATAAGGTTTTGCTAAATCATAATTTTATCACATATTTGTTTTGATCTTTTGCTATTGGTCCAACATCCATTTATCGATCTTAAACAATTCTGTAAATGCTACAATAAACTTATAAAGTAACATTCGACAAGTCGCATCGTCCACAAGTACCAAAAAATGGATTAATGCAGATAAGGATAACTCCTGAGATAAGCTTTCACTGGTTTTGGTAGTTCTAACGTGCCGATGCTATCATCTACGAGCCATGAGCCGAGCGCGGGATCAGCTCGTGCCTGTAGCCTTTGATTGACGGTCAGACGACACAGATGCTGAAGCGACAAAACGTGTTTATATAATGGTCTATATAGCCGAACTCGGACATCCTGCTGTCCTGAGTCGTCTAACCAGACACAAAAGGCCGCCTTCACCGACTGGCTTAGCCGAACGAAATATTCTACAAGTTGTAGAACACATTCAAATAACGGCATGCAGGGCACGAGCGAGTCGGGGCAATCTAGACGAAATTGTCCGTGGGAATAATGTATTCTCACACTTGTCGGGCCTCGTTCCGTCTGCACGCTGACGGCAAAAAGGAAACGTGGGTTCGCACTGTCTCGCAATAAAAACGTCCCTACCTGTTTATTCTGAAGTATATTAGACGCCTGTTGCCATGATAAACTCTCGTAATAATAACCGCACGTTTTTAGTTTCTGAATTGTTTCTTTAACACACTGGAAATCGTCATGAAAGCGCAATGTCACGTGACCTTCTGTGCTTGTCTTGTAAGTCGCAACTTCAGCAGGAACAGTCGCAAGTATCGACGTGGAGAAAACGTCATCACCCTGGTGGCCGTTTTCAGAACTTCTGCCCTTTTCTCCAACAGAAGGTAGTTCGAACATGAGCTCTGTGCCAGTGCAGGCTCTTATTAACACCAGAGACTGTCGATGTTGAGCTGGATCAACATGTTTCGTTAGCATCTCGACGACGACGACGAAGAATCAGCTACTGATAAAAAAAAATCTCAACCAGTAAAAAAGTTTCACCTAAGGCATTGTAAAATAAACACTAGAATGGTGTTTAATCACGTGCTGAAGAACACTCGTTTCTTGTTCCCAATTCAAAAAATGCTCCGTTTCATAAACCATCACCAAACTCCATTGGTCCCTGTTCTCTGAAAATACGATTTACAAATAAATTGGTCGCCCGAATGAACAACAGTAAAACATACAATATTATAAACATACACAAAAAACACAATGTTGTAATACAGTATTTCATATTATAAACACACACACAAAGAACACAATGTTGTAATACAATATTTTTCTTTCACATTCATCAGCCCCCAGTGGCACAGCGGTATGTATGCGGACTTACAACGCAAGAAACTAAGTTTCGATACCTGTGGTGGGCAGAGCACAGATAGCCCATCGTGTAGCTTTGTGCTTAACTTCAAACAAACAAACATAGTAGTAAAAATTCTGCAACATATAAAGAATAGTTCAACTTTCAAAATAAACTTCCCTGTTTTTACTGCAACATACAACGAATAAAATAATAAATTCAACGTTAAACTGGTACACAATTAAAAACATTTTATTTAGGCCTATCTATGGCCTTCAAAAAGTTGACGCCTCTACATGTTTCGACGTTCCCCCTGCGGATGACGTTGTAACGTCGAAACATGTAGAGG